ATGCCGTATTTCTGATAGTCAGATGAGGCTGTTCTGTACAAGGGTTGGAAGTTGTGTTTGTGTCCCTGCTCCCACACCGGGGTTCCCACTTGTAGTACCTCAGTGCATGGGAGAGAATTTCATCGAACCAGAGACCCAAATCCTCCCATCTCCGTATCCCCCTGCACCTTCTCTCAAGTCACCCAGAGCCTTTTAGCCCCGAGCTTATGCTTTTATCCCACCCTTAATCCTGCCAAAAGCTGTGCCTTACAAGTGCACCTCATCCCTGGTACATCCAAAGCTGTTGTTCAGCTACCTCTGCTCTTGTCTATCCCTCTCCTTTCTGACTTTTTCAGCATCCCCACTGGCTGTGAACTTTACTTAATTTCTGATATTCCGGCCAGTGGCTCTTGTGATACAAGAAAAGTTGGGCTCCCACTTCAGCGAGGCTTTCAGAAACCTGGCTGCCGTGTTAAATCATTTCGAGAGGAAGAGGCAGTGTGCTTTCAGTCAGTTTTGCCGAGCAAGAAATCGAATCTAATTTCTCTTTTGCTGCGTAGCTGTTCTAATCAGGGGGTTTGGATCGGGAAAGCAATATTCTTGAATCTTTCTGAATGCCTGAGGATTCAGAAATTTTATTTCCAAAATAAAACTCCTCAGTAAATTTGACAGTTTTTACTGAATCTGAGTGTATGACATTTAGAGTTCAAAAGTAATCTCCAAAACTAAAGAATCAAAATTACAGCTGGGAAAAAAGTATACTTAAGGGTAAAGTATATTTGGGGAAAAAAAAAAAAATCAGTTTCTGGTTTCTCTGCCTGAATCTTCAGAAACGATATTTAACATTATTAGGCACAGTTAAGCTGAAAATTAACATGCTTTTAAGGCAAAGATTTTATTTTTGTGAGAGGCAGAACCAGGATTATTTCAGCTTATTTCCCTTTTTTGGTAGCTTTTGTTCATTCTTTCAGCACCTAGTCTCAGGTTTATTTTATGTGCTGTTTAATATTCGTAATACAATAATAATCTCTTAGCATTTGTTTTGTGTTTGTTTGTTAGTTTGTTTGTTTTTTCCCTCATGAATGCTTCCCTAAGCCTATCCTTTTTTTTTTTTTCTGATTCTCCCTGATGGAGTTGGGCTTTTATAAAGTTTCATTTTTGTGTAATTGCATTTGAAGGTTTGTTGCATTGTTTTGCTTGTGTATTTTTATACAAGAGAGCCCAGAACAGAAAACAAACAAGTGCTTATCAGCTGGAAAGGCTAGAGAAGGTGAAATTTACCCTTTTGAATACTTGGGATACTTTGCATTGAACTAAATACTAAAGCATTACTTTTGCTAAACAGAAGAGTTTTGCAACATCTGCCATTTGGACAATTTGAATCATATTATTTACAAATCTTCTTGAAGAGGGATATCTGGAGTTCCCTGACTAGGTGGATCTGTTTCTGTGGAGCTGAACGTTCATTAATTTATTTGGTCACAAAAGGAAGAGTGGATGTGCAATTGCCATCAAGCTCCACATATCTTAGGTTGCCAATAGCTTGCATACCTACAATACCCACATTAATTCAAATATACCAAGTGCCATCGCAGCAATCTTACTAGTTTTGCTGATATTCCAGCTTTTTCATAATGAAAATATCAAATACATGGTCAAATCTGCTGTTTTTGGGTGCTCCCTCTCCTTCTGATCTTTCTGTGTCTTTCTGCAGTCCATCTGTCTTTGGACAGTATTGTTGATGGGACAAAGAAGTGGACGTCAAGCGAGAAGCAAGAAACTAGAGGTGGCACTAAGCAGGACCATGGAGGCAGAAGCAGAAATACAAAATAAAGAAGAGGAAGCTGAAGAGCTGAAGGCCAAAGACTGGAAGCTAACATCAGTCTTTGGTGTGGCAGACTTAAAAAATGGTAAAAATGTTTTTTCTTATTTTCTGTTTCTAATGTCTGCTGTTCCATTCTATGTCCTTAGGCTTTGTTTTCTTCTGTTCTTTACCTCTGCACTGAGGAATATACAGATGATTTATCATTTTGCCCTGCTAAGTAACCGTTTTGGTTTTTAGGAAGGGATCACATGAGGATCTCAGAGCTCTTTCCCATTTTAAGTCATCAAATAGGCCATTGCATCTGAAAAAGTCTAGATGCTGGCCCTGCCTCTTCCCAAACGCAGCCAGCATTGCTTCTGGATTTGCTAAACCATGGATTAGGCCCTAGTTATTCTGCTGCATCACTAAACTGACCTTTCAAATGATGTCATCAGTATTTCAGGTGTCCATGCTGTTCTGTCCCAGCTGCAGCCCAGCCCTACCACCATTTGCATTTCAGAGCTGTTCTGAGTTTCCATTCCATGCCCTCGCTCCCTTTGGTGGCGACTTCAGAAGAAAAACTTCCAATTACTGACCACGGTTACTTACCCTGCTTTGGGGCACAGAGTATGCTGTCTTTTTAGATGCCCAGTGAACAGCTGTCACTTGCTTTTTCCACTTCTCTCAGGCTAGTTCCTTTCTTTGAAACTGAGACAAAGAATACCAGAGGTAGGCTGAAGTGGAAACGTGAAGCCTGTGTGGTGGACAGCTAGCATGTGGTCCCACATATAGCTCTTCATCTTGTTGTGGGCCTGGCTGTGTAAAAAGGCTGAATAAAAATCCTCACGCAGGCAGCTTTTGACTTCTGTTTTTTTAATTTTATGTTTAGGTGTGTTACGAGAGGACTGAAAATAGAGGAACTGGGAGACATCTATGTATTATAATCCAGGTTTAGTTAGATTTGTCTTGTCAGTAGTCAAAGAAAGATAAATGTTACCTGCTTGAGCAACATAAGAACAGATTGAACACTTTCTCAGGTCTGATCAAGATGCTGGGCCTATACACTGAACGGCTGAATATTTGCAAGAGGAGTTTGCCGCTTTCAAATAATTTTCACTTTCTTTTCTTGTACCTGTCTCCAGGCTTCACTTCCTTTTTTTCTGTGCCTACAGGAGCTATTGGACTGTACAACATTGGACAGAGCTGCTGTCTGAACTCTGTACTCCAAGTGTTCTTCATGAATACACGCTTCACAGGAATACTTCGAAGGTACCATCTGTTTGAACTGCTTGAGATACTTCTGTTGTTGTTCTGTTGCCTCCACTCCTTTTTTAGGTGGGATGTACATTTCAAAGCTTGGACCACAAAGGTGCTTTCAGCTCACTCAGTCTTGTTGTGTCTGTCATATACAGTCTAGGGCCTGCAGGGGTAGAAGTTGCAGAGTTCTGATTTGTTAGTCATCTCTGATTTGTGTGCTGCTCACACATCAGTAAGTTGCAGTCTTGAACTGAGTCTTTATGGGTTACCTCTCTCTCTTCCTTAACAAGATATAATTTTATTCCAGGTGTACTCTTAGACCATTGTAACCAAAGGAAGTGTCATGTGTAACCATATTCACTATTAATTTTGTCACTTTAAGCATGTAAATGTAAACATATTGTGATCCATAGCCTCTGGCCCCTTATTACCCTGGCTAGTACCTGATAAGGAGTAGTAAGTGTTGTTGCAGACAGTGTTGAGTACACACTGTTATTTTGTTTTGCTTGACTGTACTCTTTACCTGTTTCTGAGGAGGATTTGGGCTTCTGCTTCCCGACCAACCACACTAATAACTGGTTTGATGTGTTTTCAGTTTTCTCAGTTCACTGAAGCTTTAATCATCTAAGTGGATTCCTGTTCCATCCTCCTTTCTGTAAATATCTTACACACTCACCGGTTTGCAGAGGGGTAAGGAGATAAGTTACATACATGCAGAGATAAGAAGTGTCCTAAATGGGCAAAGCTGAATAGTGTAGACAATAGTTTACCATCGTTATTTGAACAAAGACTTAGAAAAACCTGGGGACTGCAATAAATTTAGGAAAGGTAAAGAGCTTTCCTGTTGGCATATAGTTGAAATACAAGCATTCTGATACACATGCCTGTGAAGTTTTGAGGATATGTTGAGAAAGGATGTATGAGCAGGTGGGAGGCAAGAACACTTCTGAGACTGGCTATAACTCATGTTTGTAGGGCCCAGAAAGCACTTCAGGCCCTGCTCGCTTTGCCCCTTATTCAGAAACAGGCCAACTTAAAATTGTGGCCTTTTACTCAAGAACTGTCAGCCTGCACTGTGGGAGGAGCTAGTGCAGGTGTCTGCTCCCCCTTTTTCCCTCTTTTGCGGAAAATGTGCTGAAGTGCTGAAGTTAAACCCCCAGCCCTGAAAGAGGGTTGGCATGTGCATGATGTCCACAGCCAGGCAAGACAGACCCTCCTGACTGGTTTTCACCCAGGGTCTGGCCAGCCTTGGGTGGGAACCGATGAGGAGATCAGCACCATGTACCCCAGCCTACCACATTAACTTGGAGGTGGGGCAAGAAGCCACCTCTGTAAGAGCTGACTCTGCTTGCAGTGGGGTTGGGAGGTTTGTTTGCACAGTAGATGTGCTGTGTGGGGATTCTGGTTATTGAAATGTCTGCCTGAGTCTTCACAGCAAGTAGAGCTCCTGGAAGTGATGGGACAAGATTAAGGCAGGCAGGGAATTAAGAGGCTTTCTCCTGGCAGTTACTATATGACTGGGACTGGACTGATCCCCTGGGTCCTTCCTTCCCCCATGGCTGGGTTTTGGAATTGGCTTGTTCCCCTCCCTCTTCACTCATTATGTGCTGTGAATGAATACATTGGTCTATTCATTCCTCCAGTGGTAGGCAACCTTGGATCTCTTGCATACGATCTAAGCCCAGAGGGAAGGATCTGGTTCATGTGTTGCCCATTAGTGATAATATCCTTCCTAGCTGGGCAAGCAGTCAGCAGAAGCTGTGCCCATTCTGGTTCCTCTTGAGTTGCTATCTCTGGTATCCACCTCTGCCTCTTCAGGCGTGTTGTCCTCCGTTGTACCTCTTGGTTACCATTTGTGTTGCTCCTTCCCTTGGTAGGATCACGGTGCCGTCTCATGCCGGGCAGCAGAGGAGACACGTCCCGTACCAGATGCTCCTGCTGCTGGAGGAGATGCAGTGTGGCAAGCAGAAAGCCGTTTCTCCCGTAGCCCTCGCCTCCTGTCTGTCAATACATAGAGTGAAATGTAAGCAGCCACGCCGCATGCCCACCTCTGGCTGCAGAGGGAGCACTAGAAGGCCGTGCAGACTCTGATGTCTCATTCAGAGGCTCAGACACGTGAGGAGTTGGGTACACGGTGACCTAGTGCTCTTTATAGCTGCCTCCCAGTTGTGAGTGGGTTGCTACGTCTTATTTGTGAAGAGGAGGAAAAAGAGTCCCTGCTGCCTGTCCTTGCTGATGTCTGAAGGGTGGGAAGTCTATCAGACTGCTAGCAGACTCAGCTACTGGTACTGGCCAGAGGGAAAGCGCTG